CTAACATCATAGTCTGTAGCGAAAAGCTAAATGCTTTTTATTTGAGATCAGGAACAAGACAAGGATGTCCACTTTTATTGAACATAATATTGGAAAGTTCTAGCCACAGCAGTTAGACAAGCAAAGAAATAAAAAGCATCCAGATTGCAAAGGAAGAAGTAAAACTACAATTATTTGCAGATGACACACTATATAGAGAAAGCCGTACAGAATCCACCAAAAACTACTGGAACTAAAGTAGCAGGATACAAAATGCTGAGAAATCAGTTGCATAACAAAATCCCATTTACAGCTGCATCAAAAAGAATAAAACACCTAGGAATAAATTTCACCAAGTAAGTAAAAGACCTGCACTCAGAAAACTAGGACATTGAAGAACAAAATTGAAAAAAGATACAAATAAATGGAAGGATATACTGTGCTCATAGACAGAGGAGCAGTCTTTATCAAAACACCACTGGCATTTTTCACAGAACTAGAACAAATAATACTAAAATTAATATACAACAAGGACCCGAATAGCCAAAGCAATCTTGAGAGAGAAGAATAAAGTTGGAGGTGTCACGCTGCCTAATATCAAACTATACTGCAAGCCTATAGTAATTAAAACAGGATGGTACTGACGTGAAAACGGACACATAGATCAAAGAAACAGGTTAGAGAGCCCAGAAATAAACCCACACTTACATGGCCAATCTATAATAAAGGAAGCAAGAATTTGCAATGGAGTAATGTCACTGTCTTCAAAAAATGATATTGGGAAAACGACACACACAACAAAAGAATGAAACTGGTCACTTTCTTAGACCATATACAAGAACAAACTCAAAATGGGTTAAAGATTTAAATCTAAGACCCAAAGCCATAAAACTCCTTGAAGAAAACAGAGCAATGTCAGAGGGTTTACTTCCTTAGTAATGTTTTTTGAATACATCTCCTCTAGCAAGAGAAACAAAAGGAAAAATAAAACGAAACAAAACATTTAACAAAACATTTTTGCACAGCAAAGGAAACTCAACAAAACAAAAAAATCACCTACTGAATGGAAGATACTTGCCAATGATAGACCCAATAAGAGGTTACTATCTAAACTACATAAGGAATTCATACAATTTAATACCAAAAAAAATCTGATTAAAACATGGATGGAGAACTTGAATATAAATTTTCTCAAGAGCACATACAGATGGCCAAGACACAGGAAAGATGCTCATCAGGGAAATGCAAATTAAAACCACAATGAGGTATCACCTCACACCTGTCAGAAAGTGTCATCAATAAGTCAACAACCAAATGCTGAAGAGGATGTGACGTGGAGAAAAGGGAACCGTGGTGCAGCCACTGTAGAAAACAGTATGGAGATTCCTCAAAACATTAAAAACAGGATTACCATATGACCCAGCAATTCCACTTTCGAGTATCCAGAGAAATCCAAAATGCTTATTCGAAAGGATATATGCACCCCTATGTTCAATGCGGCAGCATTTACAATAGTGAAGCTGTGGAAGCAGCCTGCGTGTCCATTGACAGACAAACGGAAAAGGGCATCCTATACGGTAGCATGTTGCTCGGCCATAAAAAGGGTGAGGTCTTACCATCTGCGGCATAGATGGACCTAGAGGGTATGATGCTGAGTGAACTGTGTCAGAGGACAGATACCAGCTGATTCCCCATATGTGTGGAACCTAAAAAACAAATAGTTTGACAGATACAGAAAACAAATGGGTGCTTGCCCAATGTGAGGGTGGTTGGGGGATGGGTGAAAAAGGCGAGGGGACTGAGAAGTACAATGGGCGGTGTAAAAACAGTTACGGGAACATAGTAATACTGCAATAACTGCGTGTGGTGCCAGTGGGTACTAGACTTACCGGCTTGATCACTTCGTAAGTTATTTGTAGTCCAATCACTGTTGTACACCTGAAACTAATATAATACTGTATGTCAACTGTAATTAATAATTAAAATTTTTTCAATTTATTTTGTCAGCCATAAAGCACCAGTGGTATAGTGGGCATGGCGGTGGTAGAGGTGATACGTAGAGGAGGGAAAGCAAGTAGTAACTTTTATTTGGTACAGGAGACGCACAGATGCAGGAGAGTGACAAGGAGTAAAGGTGCTCCAGGTAATTGTCCTCAAACACCTTAGTAGAGGGATTTAAGTGAAATGTGGATGAACAATGTGTTTTCTAGCAAACTGCCAAACAGCAGGTTCCTCAGGTTCTGAAATAAAATTTTGCTTTATTTACAGGGAGAAAAAGAAGGAATTGGAACGTGAAGAATTATGGAAAAAATTAGAGGAGCTAAAACTAAAGAAAGCTCTAGAAAACCAGAACAGCGCTTACAACATGCACAGTATTCTCAGCAATACAAGTGATGAATAAAAAAGCCTGCCACCTCTGTTGGATAGGCAGTTTTGTACACTTTTTTGAAATATGTAAAAATTACGAAACCTCATCAGTATAATTAAAAGGCCAATATTTTTCTGGCAACTGTAAATGAAAAAATATATGGACTAAACATAGCCCTGTGCTATATCATGGCCACAGTATATTGTAACATTTGTCTAATCATTGATTTATTGTGTCACATCTGAAGTTTCACAGAAATGAATGAACTTGATCATCTATAATATGAGTGAGATAATTATGGGAGTGGTAAGAATTATGACTTGAATTCTACTTTGATTGTGTTGCACATAGATGTAGTCTGCTCTGTATATTCTTCCCTTTTCACATTGCTGCAGACCTTAGTTACATCCTAGGAGAAAAAGAGTATTTCCTAAAATAAAACTAAGGTATAACCCTTACCTTCCCCTTTGTCCCTCTCAGAAATATGATGGGGGAATTACCTGCCCTAAGCCTGCCTTCATTAGAAATATTACTGTACTCTGGAATTTGAGCAAAAAAACTTAAATCTCCAGGCTTTTTAAAGCACAAAATACAAATAAAAGCTGGGAAAGTAAACCAAATTCTTCAGGTTGCTCCTCATGAATATCCTCCTTAATGTGCAACTCCCCAGAGTGATGAGCCCAGATGAGTGGAGGCAGCCCAGGTAAAGACTTAGCCTGCCTCTGCTCATCCCCCCCAAGGCTGAAGGCAGGGCCCTTCCAGTCCCTCTTGACCCAGGGACAGAGGCTTAAGAGTCCCACAGTGTGGTGACGCAGAGTGTTCATTGTCACTGCCTAGCTTTATTTAAAGGAACTGCAGTCGGCTTCTGTAGAGCTCTAAGAAGGTTGACTATAGAGGAGTCTTGTATGTTTTTACTTGGTCAAGTATTTCTCACAAATTTTGTTATCAGAGTACCATTCCAATCTCTTGCAGTTGTGTGGAAAACAGTTTTGTAATGAAAGATCTTCATTGGGGGATTGAGCAGCATTTAATAAAGTCTATGTTTGTATTTTGCCTTATCTCATCACTGCTTTTTTCAGCTCTAAGTTTAGGCATTCAGAAGAAGCTGCCCCCATATATATATATACTTACATATGTGTGTATATACAGAAAACTGTAAGGCAAGTTGTGACACATATTCTAACTAAAAAATAGGAAGATTGTGCCAAATTGAGTGTCCTGGCCATTTTCTAAAGTATATCTGTTTTATAGAATATTTGCATAAAATTCTAAGTTCTAGGATATCCTTCACGTCCCTTTATGTTCAGAGGATGGATTTAACTTACCTTAACTGTTAAAATAGACCCAGGAGGGTAAATCTCAAAACCTGTAATGACAGCACTGTTTTCGTGAGGGGCGGGGAGATCGCAGCAGCCAGAAGTCAGGCTTTCTCATCAAGTTTGCAACGACTGCTGTCCGACTCCACCCTTTCACACGAGCAGCTCTAGCACAGGCTCTGCAGTGCTCGAGGCCACGGAAAGGAACTCCTTTCGCTCGCCCCGGCTCCAGGAGAAGCGCTTCCTTTCAGTGCACGGCCCGGGCTTCACGGTGCTCTCAACAGCCGGCCCCCGTACCTGAGCCCTCACATCCAGGGGCCCGCGCCGGACCCTCCACACTGACCCGAGGCCGCCGGTGCTGCCCACAGCTCGGCCGACAGGTAGAGGGTGAGCCACTGCAGACAGAACGAAAGGCAAGCTCCTCCCTTTCCAGAAAGTGAAAGTAAGTCGGGGCGAAAGGCCTGTGTGGCGGAGGGTTTAGGCGCACACGTCTTCCACTGAACAGCAGCCAGAGTGGAATTTGGCAGGTTGCAGCCAATAGTTCTTTCTTTGGATGAGCTAAAAGTGCTCACTTCCTAATTATCTACTTACTCTAAAGCACAATTAAGAGGTCTCAACTTTCCACAATAAAGAAAATACAGTTCTAGACTGTTCATTGGAGCAAATTTTATGAGGCACTTAATAAAAATATTAAACTGGTGTGTTATTTTTAGAGATCCTTTGCAAATACACACCTGTTATGTATGCTTTTATGCCTGGCTCTGCATTTGCCTTACAGCAAGATTTTGAGAGATGAGACCTAGGTTAAAGTTTGAATTGCATGCTCTTAACAGCATGGAAGAGCAACAGGGACGACTTCTTTACACAAGTTCCCTTTTAATAATTCAACCAAAAAATATAGTTTCTTGCTGCTTAGACATGAGATTAAAAAAAAACAACAAACCACTCACACATTTGAATTTCTCTCCAAGTTACCTAAAGGCAGGTTAAATTCAGGAAATGTTACCAAGCTCCTTTGGATGCAAAGGGCATGTCAATAATATAAAACTCTGGGAGCAATTTCATAACCTTCACTCAGCCTGTGGCTACCATGTGAAAAATACTCAGAGGGGTGGTTTTGTAGTCGCCACGGCTCATTCATGGAGCTTGAGGCACCATCTTCCTGACCACCCGCATCTACTGTCCAGCCACCCTTCCCCTCCCTGGGCACAGTCTAGACGTACCTTGGAGTCCAGATGATCCGAGGAGTCCAGGCTCACGCTGCCTTTTATCTGGAGGCCACTGAATGAAAGTGTACTGGTGCCTACTGATTTAACACATTCATACTGGCACACTGATTCCTTTTGTATTAACCTAGCTTTTATTTACCTGTTAATGAAGTCATCAAAATACATTGAATAGGCACCTACTCTACATTCATACTAGTGCTTTTGTGTGTTAATCACTCTAAACTCTTACACCTATATCAACAAGAACTCCAACCAGACAGGTAGGTGGCTAGTCAGTCCACAGGATATCTAATTACTGTATTGACTTTAAGTGTCTCATTTAACAAATGAGAAAGCTTGTCAGAGACTGGATGACACAGATGGCAGACAATGCCAGAGACTAAGGGTGTTTGTTTGCCTTTGTGTAAAATGCACAGGTTTCAAAGCTCGACCTACACATCTGGATAGTCACACACTCTCCCATCCACTTTAAAACCCTCGGGGGAGAAACCCAAGGTAAATACAAAGCCTTAATTCCTGTTAGAGCTGAACTATTCACCAGCCAAAGAAGAAAGGCAGCTTCGACAAACCTTCAGAAACCAGGTCTAATTCCATCATCCGCAAACTCTACTCATGTCATAGTCAAAAACTGTTCATTAATAATTTAAGTACTTAAATAACTTCGAGGTTATCCACTGGATCTGTCCCATCAGGCTGTGCCTCCCAGCAGGGCGGGCAGCTTCAGGTGAGTACAGGAGTGCTGGCAGCTCAGTTTCTCAAAGTGGAAGTGATGAGACCCTCGGTCAACATGGGCAGTTCTATGAACAAGGCGACTTCAGCTTATATGGTTCGTTGCCTGACCTCTTTTTTTAAGGTATCTCTTCCTAATTTTGATCATCCATTTCACACTCAGCTTGGCAAACTCTGCTGCTTTAAATAATGCCAAGAAGGCCCCACAGAGAAGCGCAATTGTGTTCCAAGGATTGGCTGTGATTATCTGCAAAACAGAACCAACTCAAGTGTATTAGTTTGCTTCAGTTTTCACTTAGGTCACACTAGTATCACTAGGGTGACAAGAAAAACATCTGGGTTCCAAAATTGTCGTAACTCTACACTTCAGCCGTACTTTAATGTCCATAATTCAGTCTGAGGAGGAAAATACTAAGCCCTCCCCATAATAAAGTGATTCTGAAAGAAAAAAACATTTAATGCCTTCTACTTAGCTCACTCAATTAACATTACTACTAAGGCAGCTCCTCTGTACTAAGCACTGTGCCAGACACCAAATAAATGATGAGGAGCGAAAGACAAAGTCCCTACCTCCTTAGGGTCACAGTCTAGTGATGAAAACGACCAAGTAACAACAAATGATAAAGAATATGAATGTCACAAATACAAATGACAAACTGCTTTGTGCTAGGAAAGATGGAGCCTGCAGGGATGAGCACACATGCCTCAGGGCTGGGAGTCTGCTCTCAATCTCAATACTCACATCTTGGACTTTCTGGATGAAAGGATCTTTCCATTCAAAGACCACAAAAAACAGCTGAGCACTTCTTTCAGTCGCTGGCCTCTGGTCAATGTAGTTAACCACACTTGTCTAGAACAGGAGAGAATGCAGTGTCACCTGGCCTGGGCCACAGGAAAGCATGGTTAGGGGATCTCAGGTCTTGGCTCTCCTCACACCATCTTGGAAGGAGAGCCCCAAATCCTATATATACAACACCCTGAAACTGGCACCAGAGCCCAGGCCCTGTCCTGGTTTCCATAGTGCTTTGGGGAAATGAACAGGATGTGGGATGTACAGTAAGTGTTTTGGACTGTCACCGATTAAACTATGTTCAAAATACTGTGTAAGACTCACAAAAGCAATAAAAATCCTAAATTTCAAAATTCTCAATTTTAAGAGCCGAGTATTTTAACCTTAGAGTCTATAGGAACAGAGTGCAGTCTCGGGTCCACGGTGCTGCGTGTCCCTGTAAACAGGTGTAAACAGGTGGTAGGTGTGCTTGGGAAGATGGGGCTGTCAATTACTAAAGGGTCTGTGTGGTGTCACGGAGAGCACACAGGTTCCAGAGGCAGAAGCCCAGCCCCAGAACCCAAACCTTCAGGCTGGGGCTGGGCTTATCATCTGAACTGAGCCTCTGCTCCGCCACCCATAAAACAGGGACAAAATGCCGACCTCTCTGAGGATGTGAGGATCAAAGTATGAAAGTATCTTAAACTTTAAAACGCGATACAAAAACACTTAAAGTTTTGAGTTCGTGTGCCCTGCCAAGACTTCCAAAGGAGACTATAATAAAAAGCACATAAAACATTATGAAACATAGAGGTTGGCTGGGGTTTGGGCCTCTGTGGTTTCAGAGCTGGGGGGGGGGGGACACATGGAAGCTCCTTTCTCAGCTGCTGGGGGGCCAGATGAGAAAGGCTTGGTGTTCCTGGAGAAAAGTGTGGAATGGAAATTCAGGAGATGACAGTTACCTTACAAAATACGAATATTTTAATGTGATGGGAGCTGTTACATCCTAAGGCAGGAAAAGAGCCTGTCCCCTTGAAGAAAGCTGGCTCTATGTCCTCCCCAAAGCTCTGCCTGGAGCAGTCCTAGGAGCCAGGCGCAGGAAGGGCCAGACCTGGACTAGCACGTGGCTTCTGGCCAGCGACGGCCCCATCGACTGGAGTGGGTCCTTCTACTCCAACCCAGCCCCCTCCTAACACTGTCCCTCGGAGCCCAGCCCAAAGGGAACTCCTCCAAGAAGGAGCAAAGGGTGTGAGCCCAGGCAGTCTCCTCGCTGCCTCTACAGGCTCCAGCCACTGACACACGGCGTGGATTCAGGCTCGGGGGGTGGATTCAGGCAGGAGGCAGAGAGCCACTGCCACAATGGAAGCCCAAAGGCAGGGTGTGGCCGTGCTTTTGGTGGTCACTGACAAACAGGCCTCTCACCCCTCGATCCCCACTGCCATGCCTTTTTCTAAGGTCCTCTAGTCTCTCACAGGGATTGTGGCTGGAGATCCAATATCTCCTGGTGCCAGGCCAGAGGGCTGAAAGCTTTAGGATCACACTTCCCATTAGGAAAATTTCTGAGCATGCACCCAACATATTTGTAACTTTAGGAGTGATGTAACATTATCATTATTGTTCTAATGTTGCATGCATTATAAAACACTGAAAAACAGAAAAATGAGATTAAAAAATACAAAGAGAGGGAGCATTTGAGATCCTGCTCCCTGACATGTCAGTTTGACTCAAATAAACTCTTTAAAAAAACAAACAAAAAAAACCCTGACCAGGTAACTCAGATGGCTAGAGCGTCATCCTGATACGCCAAGGTTGTAGGTCAAATCCCCCGGGCAAGGCACATACAAGAACCAACCAATGAATGCATAAGTAAGTGGAATAAGTCAGTGTTTCTCTCTTAAATTGATCAAAAAATAAAATATTCGCTCTGGCTGTGTGGCTCGGTTGGAGCATCATCTCAGACACCAAAAGGTTGTGGGTTCAATTACAGTCAGGGCACATACCCAAGCTGTGGGTCAGTCCCAGCTGAGGTAAGTACAGGAGGCGATTAATGTTTCTCTCTCCCCCTCTCCCTTCCTCCCTCAAATCAACAAAAACATTTTAAAAAAGAGTAACCTGCATAAAAACAATGTATTTTTATAAGAGAAAGAGAGAGAGTGAGTGGGGAAGGGAGGGAGAGGGAGGGAGGGAGGGAGGGAGGGAGGTATC